AAAAATTTTAGCAAAAATGTAAAGGGGGTGGTTACGTTTAGTAGTTTAGAAGGATAGGTTGAAAATACAAATAGGGTGAAAACGTGCCCTACTACAATTTAAACATATTCCCCAAATTTCGTTTTCCTAGCGTTTATGGGTTTTGAGAAAAAAAAATTAAACCAAAATATTCCGCCATTTTTGGAGGGGTGTAGCTCCTTAGGGGAGCCCAAGTCGCCCATGGTTTATTGATGAATAAGAAATGAATAAGAACTCACGTATATGCCTTAGAGATTCAAAGTTGACTGTACAAGCAAATAATGCAGGGGTCGACCTACCTTACAAATATGTAAGCAATTGCCATACCAGAAAAAGCAATTCCTTAATTTATTCATAACATTTTAAGCATATGTAAGTAATTGCATCTATTTTTTAAGAAAATAATTTGACTAGAAGCAATTTCTGCACTTTTAAGCAATTGCTTAAGTAACAGCAAGAGTATTACTTCAATTTTTATTCATTGGTTTTCAAGTATTTGTTTTGATTTTGCAAGAAAAAGCAATTGCAAAATTTTTATTTATTAGGGCCATTGTACCACATAATTGTGGGAGCTAAGAAACAATTCTTGAACCTAATTATAGCTTAAATCTTCCTCTTTCAAGAAATATTAAAATTATGATTTTAGCACCAAAAAGATTTTATAATAAAATTGTTTTGTAATGATGCGTTTTTGAGATTTTAGGAGAATAACAAAAAATGATCAAGTTCAAAAAATCGTGGTCTTATCTTTGAAGGTAATAAAATGACTTTTATATCAAATTAAAGGTTCAACTCTCCTCTTTCAGAAAACATATACCTCGTAGCTTCAATTGCAGTTTATTAGAGTGTATTCAACATTGAAAAATTACATAACTATATTTATTTATTTTACGTCATCTAGGGAGATCTCATGGTGGCGTATGCATAAGCACCTTGCATAATCTGTAACAGATGATTTTAATATGATGAGATAATAAGATGTTTGCTTATTTACGTTTTTGAATGTGGACATTGATAATTCCCCGAATTTCCCGCATTCCAATCTGATGGGCTTTTGCGCCCTCAAAATCATTATTAAGATATCCCTTCTTAGCTTGGTATCTTTGTACCAATCCAGATCATAAGCAACTGTTGCTATTTCAGTGCTCTAGAACGTTATATATATTTGTTGATTAAGACTTCTCTTAAGCAAGAGATACACTAACCGCCTCAATAACCTTATCACCTATGTAACAACCAATGAACAATCCTCCAATCCAAGTTATAGTCGGCAAAGACGATATCACCGAAAACCCAGTCATCATTCCCAAAAATCCAATTCCAATGATTATGTTGTGACTAACAATGCATGGAAAGGTGACCCAAGCGATGCGCCCATTAATATAATCTGCAAGTCTAAATATATATTACATGTATATATATATCATTAATTTAAATTTTTATTAACTCACTCAATAATTCGGTTATGGTAATAAATGCAATGATATAAACACTTCCTCCTCTCATTAAAATCATCATGAGTATTAAACATTCTTAATTGATCACATAAATCTTCGCAACGCCATGTAATCGCCAAATAGAAAGAAATCGTTAACCCAATAAAAACGGTACCTTTGGTAACGAACGACATCACGACGAAAAATACAAGCATCCAATGCATATAATACAAAAATCCACTGCTAATGTCGTAGGGATATCTAAGACCCACGCAAAATCCACACAAAATCTTCGTGTTATGTTCCAAATTATATTTTGTACAATTTTTTATATTAAACAGTGGAGTTACAGAAACCAGAAAGGCACCAAATCCGCAAAATCCCACCAAAAAAACGTGAATGAAATCGAATAGATCCTGTAGATGCTTAGCTTTTTCAAGGTAACCATATTCGTTCATCGATTCTATCTTTTCGAAGATGGTTACGACATCGTGTTTGATGTAGTAAATCGACAAGTAACCGTAACAAAGCGTTGTCAAAATCATCAGAGCCAAACTTACCTCGATCTTTGTGAGTGGTAGAATTTTAGGATTTCCAATAACTGATGGTATGTATACTATACCGCCCGTTAATATATAAGTTAGCACAATTTGCTGAAGGTACTGAGTTAGATAGTAAATTTTGTTATCAGTTTTCGGTGGCACGAAACCCATAAACTTGAAAAGTTTTCTTGTTCTCGGCATATAATCCATTTGGTGCCCGAATAAGAAAATAATGCTCACTTTGTTGGAGTTTAGAAACAATAAAGCTGGTTGAGCTTTATTATACAGTGGTAATTGCATCGATTTTTTTTGCAAAGTGCCATTCCCTTAATAAATTATTTACCACATAAAATAATGGTACCTTTTGAATTAAAAGACTTCTAATCATCCGAACTGAGCTCTTCAATAATTTAAAATATTATTCTGACCTCATTTCTAAGGATAAACAAGTGGTTTGTATCTTAAAATGAAGCTAAATCTTTCTCTTTAAGATGATATATCCTGCATTGGATTTTATAATAAATTCTTGGAGATATAGCTAAAAATTGGAAGATTAAATGTTGACGATTTTAATAAATTTGTGTAAATTGACGTAAACTTTAAAAAATCATTCTGAACTTATTTCCTGGTATCAAGAAGTGGTTTATATCTTGAATTAAAGCTGAAAGATTCCTCTTTCAGATGATATAACCCGAGTTGGATTTTATAATANCTTGAATTAAAGCTGAAAGATTCCTTTTGAAGATGTGATATAACTCGCGTTGGATTTTATAATAAATTCTTGGAGATATAGCTAAAAATGGAAGATTAAATTTTGACGATTTTAATAAATTTGTGTCAATTGACGTAAACTTTAAAAAATCATTCTGAACTTATTTCTTGGTATCAAGAAGTGGTTTATATCGTGAATGAAATCGAATAGATCCTGTAGATGCTTAGCTTTTTCAAGGTAACCATATTCGTTCATCGATTCTATCTTTTCGAAGATGGTTACGACATCGTGTTTGATGTAGTAAATCGACAAGTAACCGTAACAAAGCGTTGTCAAAATCATCAGAGCCAAACTTACCTCGATCTTTGTGAGTGGTAGAATTTTAGGATTTCCAATAACTGATGGTATGTATACTATACCGCCCGTTAATATATAAGTTAGCACAATTTGCTGAAGGTACTGACTTAGATAGTAAATTTTGTTATCAGTTTTCGGTGGCACGAAACCCATAAACTTGAAAAGTTTTCTTGTTCTCGGCATATAATCCATTTGGTGCCCGAATAAGAAAATAATGCTCACTTTGTTGGAGTTTAGAAACAATAAAGCTGGTTGAGCTTTATTATACAGTGGTAATTGCATCGATTTTTTTTGCAAAGTGCCATTCCCTTAATAAATTATTTACCACATAAAATAATGGTACCTTTTGAATTAAAAGACTTCTAATCATCCGAACTGAGCTCTTCAATAATTTAAAATATTATTCTGACCTCATTTCTAAGGATAAACAAGTGGTTTGTATCTTAAAATGAAGCTAAATCTTTCTCTTTAAGATGATATATCCTGCATTGGATTTTATAATAAATTCTTGGAGATATAGCTAAAAAACTTAAAAATCTGTAAACTTTAAAAAATCTTTCTAAACTTATTTCCTGGTATCAAGAAGTGGTTAATACCATGAATTAAAGCTAAAAGATTCCTGTTTAAGATGATATAATCTGCGTTGGATTTTATAATAAATTCTTGGAGATATAGCTAAAAATCGGAAGATAAAATTTTGACGATTTTAACAAATTTGTGTGAATCGACGTAAACTTTAAAAAATCTTTCGAAACTTATTTCCTGGTATCAAGAAGTGGTTAATACCATGAATTAAAGCTAAAAGATTCCTGTTTAAGATGATATAATCCGTGTTGGATTTTATAATAAATTCTTGGAGATATAGCTAAAAATCGGAAGATAAAATTTTGACGATTTTAATAAATTTGTGTGAATCGACGTAAACTTTAAAAAATCTTTCGAAACTTATTGCCTGGTATCAAGAAGTGGTTTATATCTTGAATTAAAGCTAAAAGATTCCCTTTTAAGATACTATAACCCGCGTTGAATTTTAAAATTAATTCTTGAAGGTATGGCTAAAAATTGGAAGATTAAATTGTGTCATTTTAATAAATTTGTATAAATTAACGTAAATTTAAAAAAATCATTCTGGACTTATTTCTTGATATAAAGAAGTGTTTTATACCATGAATTAAAGCTAAAAGATTCCTGTTTAAGATGATATAATCCGCGTTGGATTTTATAATAAATTCTTGGAGATATAGCTAAAAATTGGAAGATTAAATGTTGACGATTTAAATAAATTTGTGTAAATTGACGAAAACTTTAAAAAATCATTCAGAACTTATTTCTTGATATAAAGAAGTGGTTTATATCTTGAATTAAAGCTAAAAGATTCCTTAATAAGATGATATACCCCTCGTTTGATTTTATAACAAATTCTTGGAGATATAGCTAAAAATTGGAAGATTAAGTGTTGACGATTTAAATAAATTTGTGTTAATAGACGAACACTTTAAAAAATCATTCTAAACTTATATCCTGGTATAAAGAAGTGGTTTATATACTGAATTAAAGCTAAAAGATTCCCTTTTAAGATGATATAAACCGCGTTGGATTTTATAATAAATTCTTGGAGATATAGCTAAAAATAGGAATGTTGACAATTTTAATAAATTTGTGTAAATTGACATAAACTTTAAACCATCGTTCTGAACTTATTTCTTGGTATCAAGAAGTGGTTTATACCTTGAATTAAAGCTGAAAGATTCCCTTTTAAAATACTATAACCCGCGTTGGATTTTAAAATTAATTCTTGGAGGTATAGCTAAAAATTCGAAGATTAAATTTTGTCATTTTAATAAATTTGTATAAATTAACGTAAACTTTAAAAAAACATTCTGAACTTATTTCTAGGTATAAAGGAGTGTTTTATGTCATGAATTAAAGCTAAAAGATTCCTTTTTAAGATGTGATATAAGCCGCGTTGGATTTTATAATAAATTCTTGGAGATATAGCTAAAAATGGAAGATTAAATTTTGACGATTTTAATAAATTTGTGTAAATAGACGAAAACTTTAAAAAATCATTTTGAACTTATATCCTGGTATAAAGAACTGGTTTATATCTTGAATCAAAGCTAAAAGATTCCTTTCTAAGATGTGATATAACCCGCGTTGGATTTTATAATAAATTCTTGAAGATATAGCTAAAAATGGAAGATTAAATTTTGACGATTTTAATAAATTTGTGTCAATTGACGTAAACTTTAAAAAATCATTCTGAACTTATTTCT